TCTATTTCACAAATATGTACATATTTAAAATTGGAGCAGTGTGTTGGCACATGGTGTTGTGGACCCAATGATCTGACGTGTGAACTGGTCCTGACTTGCTCCCCACTGCCGTCTCCCCCCCCCCCCCGCGTCAGCAACCTACACTGACCATTGTGGTGAAATATGGTCAACACAACCCCATTAGCAACAATGTGCGGCTTTCATCCTGCGGTGAATTGACAAAGGGGTGTAAATTCTAAATACTGTAAAGTTTTTCTAATAATATCCTACATTAATGAGTAGCTTAATCTTCGAACAAAAGTTATATAGTAAGCATTATTATATTCTAAATCGATTCTGAGGTTAAATGTTCAAAGTAATGATGTTTTACCTGAACCAAATTGGAGCCACTTAACATTGTTTTTCCCTTAAATGTTAGATGTATTTTTTCTGTAAATGTCTGCTTTAATCATCTGTGTTTTAAAATACCAAATGCAATCTCAGTCAATTGCAATATAACATCTTTAACATTTTCAAAGTTGAAGTTTTAAACTTTCAATAAAATTAGCAGGGCTGTGTAAATGGATTTTAACGTTGATGATTTACAATTAAAAAATTCATATCCTGTGGTCAGACAAAAGAGCTGCTATGATGCAATTACATTTGAGAAATACATTCGCCTACCTAAATAAAATGGAATTTTTATGCAGATTTGATTAAAATAATTAATGGTCGCCGTATACACATTAAAGCTTACTTAGTTTCGTGATCAAATTTTTTATTATTAATGGATTTATAATGAGGTAGTTTTCATGTTTTTTTTATTCTGCCCCTCCCCCCATGTGTACAGCATTTTTCCACCTCTGTGGCTTCCACAGGTTTCGTTGTTACCCCTCTTGCGATCGATGATATTTTACCAATCCCACCTCTCTTACGAAAGGCCATCTTGCTCAACTTGCGTGCCCGTCCTGTGAAGTCTATCTAAGGAATCCGAGCCCACTTCGGTGTACCGCCTCCTGTTCAAAATCTTTTAACAGTTGCCTTATCCTCTAGTTTTTTTACTCGTTATTATTCCTCCCTGCTCCCATCCAATCTGTTCTCTTTGTCAGCCCTCGCTCTGATTGTGGGTTCAAAGTGGAGGCAGACATCTCGTGGCTAAACTACCTACAAACGGGATCGGGTTCACGTCGGGGAAAACTGTTCGTGGATAGCAGTCGCGGGAGGGCCAGACAATTTGGCCCCATGCCTAACAAGCCGATGCTAAACAAACTTGAAAGTGGACACCACCCTGTGCGGCAATTACGGTCGCCCCGTGGCTGCAACACTGGCTGCAGTGAAGCGAATCGATAGCGTCGTAAAGATGATGCATCGTTGCTGTGCCCACCGCCCCAAAAAACAAGACGTGACAGCGCCACGTGATGGAATATGCGATGAATGTCAAGGCCGATTTGATTCCCTCCACGTTTTTGATATTTAGTTACAGTCCTTGGTCGTAGTTAAAGTATAACGGATTAGGTTGAAAATTCCATTTCGCGCTGCGGTTATTTATTCCGCGGTTTTGAGAGCGCATGACGTGAGGCTAAGCGTCTTGTCAGTGGGTAGGGTGAAGTAAAAAAAATAAGCCCTCCGAAAATTAATTTTCAGTAAAGGGGACATATTTACCAGAGTTGGCATCATTTATGGAAGATAACTCATTTCAAGTGGTATGCTTGTGTAGTTTTTCTCGCTCAATTAAATTTGAACTTGACCCTTGGACTCTGACACGAATAATGGACGGTCGTGTACCCGTTGAACAACTCGCTAGAGTCGCCATTTTTTGTTTGACGCTCGCGCGAAGCTGCAATCAAAATATAAACGTGAGCCTTGGTACAAATTCAGCAGACGAACGTGAAAGGATTGTAAAAACAAATGGGGAAAAAAAGATACAGTTCTTTTTCCTTTGAAGCCACAGTCCCCTGAGAGCTGGCCTACCTGCATGAGCACGAGCGAGTAACAAAAACCTGTTTAGTCTAAGCGAATCTCATGAAGGCGGGATGACATACTGTATCCTGTGTGATGGCTCGGCTGTGGGCTCCGTGCTGAAAAGCCCGCCAGCTACCCAAGGCAGCAAGGCATCTAAAGTAGAACACAGCGCAGGAATGTGCAGCCAGCTATGACAGCTGTAACATAGTCGGTGGCTGAAAAAGGTCTCTTTTCCGTGGTGGCTTGGAGACGGTGTGGGGGTGACGGGGGCGGTGGGTTGGGGGGTTACAGCGGAGGAATAGGGAGAAACGAGAAAAGGGAACAGATTTCGGCCAGTATAAACAGCGTTCATGCCGCCGTCGTTAATCACGGCAGATGAAAGGCGGGAGTTTCAACTTTCCACCAAACATCCCCTGCCCCATCGAAATGCAATCTGTCACACTTAGCGCGGTCAGGTGGGCCTGGCTTTCCAGCATGGCCGAGGAGAACTGTGGGCACGCTGAGACCTTCAGAAACTACGCTGCAAGAATTGCGCGCTTGTTCTCCGCGGAGAGAGACTTGGATGTGCCCTGCTGTAAAAAGGGCCCTTGAGTTTACGAATTTGTCTGATCCTTCTTTAGCGGTTTTTTTTTTATTTTAAACTTGATGCTTTCGCTTGCATTTTACATTTCAGTTTAGCTGCGAGCTGTAATGTGCACTCGTGGGCATTATCAATGGAATAATTGCTGAGTAGGGAGGTTAGGTTTGACATTGGCTTTGCCATTTGCATTTCAATACTTTTCCATTTGAAATTGTTTCATTCTCATTTAGCGAGTGTATTGATTCATCCATAATAAAATTATTGACGTGCATTGCGTTTTTTAAAACATTTAATTAAAAACAAATTACAACACTTTGCAATCCACTGCTGGATGAAGGCCTGGGCACGCAGTGTCGCTCCTGGGAACTTTTGACCATACTTGAACAAACCGGTCAGTGCGGGTTGGTGGATGGTTAGTTCAGATACAGTTCAAATATTGCTCGCCACTGATGTTAGGTCTAGCCGGAAATCAAAATTGCTGGGTTCATTGCACTAAACCCCCTTAAAACATACACTTCGCAAAGTGGTCGCATAATAGCAATTAATTAAATATCACGGGTAACAGCATCCAGAAACGCAGCACCTCGACACAGCCGACTACTCTTGTGCGCAACCAGTTTGCCGGAAATTTGTCGCAAGGAGGAGGGTTGTAGACAATGGGTCTCGGCAGAAAGCAGTGGCAACGGTCCCTTGGAGTCGATTGTAAATTACCGGGGCCCGGCCTCTGCGGTTGAATTGATTCGGAGCGCATCATTGCGTGTGACCTGCCAGTCGCTGACCCAGCAGGTATAAGCCTCCTCCCGTTAGCTGTCTTAGTCATAATGAAAAAAACCATATATCACGCAATTTAAATTGTGTTGTAACTTGCAGACAAATACTACTTTTCCGTCTTTTTTAAAGTACCGTAGAGTTTTCATGTCACTCTTATCGCTGTCGCAGATCATTGTTTCAAAAATAGAAACAGTCTTCACTTGACAGCTCTTTATCTGATAGTTTTGCACTGAGCTCCTTGTAATGGGAGATGCCTGCCTTGGATTTTAATAGGAAAAGGCAGGAGCCTAATTGGATTTGCTCTGTAATGCACGGATGAATTGCATCAATTGAGAACTTATAAGATTTCTTTGGCGGCTGTAAAGCGTTTAGAAAGCCATAAAAAATCCCCTTCCTCGCTATTAATTATCAACAAAAAAACATTAATAGCCCTACCCGTGGAACATGTTTGTAAAAAAATGTAATTTAAAATGCATTAAATAACATTACCGACTTTATTGCATTTTATTAATATAGATATCACACAGCCGGTGTGAAGTGCCACCCTGGTTGAATAATTATCGGATATAGAAATATTAATTAAATGTTTTTATGCGGGTGCTGTTTGAGATAGTGGGCCACATTTGTGTTTTGGAGGTTCCTGGAGTGCTTTGCACAAACCCACGAATTTTGAGAAGAGGGCTCTGAAAGTGGTTTTATGATTTGTTGTAGGGTTCTACTTGAACGCCAAAAACTAGACATGTAGCGATTCGCCTCGCTCGCAATGTGATTGTCACAATTCAATTGAAGAATCGCTTCAGTCATTGTGGCTTCGCAGGGTCACATGAACCCATGACATACAACGTTTACAAATCGCAAATACGTATCCGGGAATGCACCGTTCCATCAGAATCTGAATCTATTTTAATTGGTTAAATGGTGCATTGTTTCATGCCTCCTTAAGAAAGAGACATTTTCAGCTGGGAATAAAAATGTAAATCCCTCCCTTTGGACGTGCAGCATTGAGTGGCCTCAGCATTTCGACTTTCCTAAAGCTTGGACAGTGGGGTGGATGATTACATTGTCAGTGGCAAGGTCCTGACATTAGAGAGACTTGAAAGAAGAACAAAGAGAAAACAACAAAAGGAAAACTAGAAGATTCTGTCAGTGTTTGTTCATGCTTTGTTGAGTTTTCTGGAATATTTACTGGCGGCTGGCTCCAGGGTTGAAACCAAAAAAAAAGACCGCTCCGTTAGAAGGTGGACCGATGGGGCCTAGACCCCTCCAGCCTCCACCAGTTTCGCGGCACAAGGCAAAAGGGCCCTCTGCAAGATTTGTGGGTCTCAGTGTCTTGTGTTTGGAAGATTGTTTGCGTACGCATGCTATGCTCACTGTTTGATCTCCGCTCGTTTCTACGGTGGCATGTTTTTGTATTCGGTTTTTAAATTTATTGTAAACGCTGGTCCCCCCCGCGCCTTTGCTTAACGCCGCACGTTGTCCATATATGCATTGCGCGTTGCCATTTGATGTCACTGTGTACTTTGAGCCGGAATCTAAAAAAAAAAAGTAAAATTGCCAAAATACGAAGCAACCAATATAAGCCAGGTCGCGTGAAATAATAGCAGCATTCTTAAACGCCATCACTGGTATCTTAATCGCGGCGATGCCCCGCGTTTTAGCGGAGGATGATGATAACAGTTGCTTTTGCTGTTGCTGTCGGCGCGCACAGACACCATGGTGTGCACCAGCTGCTGCGCAAGCCTCGACCACATGGTCACGTACCTCTTCAAGCAGCTCTCCCGCAACGGCAAGAAGCGGCCCGCATCCGCCGTGCCGCAGGATCGCGACCGCCTCCTCCACATCCTGCAGCAGCGGCCGGACATCATGCAGCAGGTGCGCCCTCAATTGAATCTCCTTTTGGGCTTTGTGGGGGGGGAGACGAGAGCTATGGGTGGCAAGCACCTATGGTTAGTGCTTCATTTTCTTCCTGAATATATTTGAGTAGAATGGAGTAGACACATGACTAGTTGTCACTGCCATAATGAAAGGTTTTCTCGATGTGGTGTGTCAGAGGTGGAAATGTTTTCTAGGTCGCTGGCCTGGACAGAGACCCACCTCAATTAACAGAATCACAGAATGCTCTATTTTTGCTGGAGGAACCGATGAGTTATGAAGTTCTTTTTCACAGATGTCCAGTAGAGGCAGGTCAGAACGTTACAACAGTAAACGATACAAAAACACGATAAGAGTGCAAAGTATAGGAGAGTTAAACAAATGACTTCATGAAGCCCTAGCTTTGGTTATTTGTGTCTTCCACAAATCCAATCATTATCCACGATTCGTATGGTTGCAGATGAACCATCCTCTTTTGGTTCTTCACCATGGTCTGGCTTAATTATGAGCTGCTTCTCACTCGTCGAGAGTCAGTCAGTGACTCAGTGCCCATGTGACCGCAACCCATACCAGCAGAAAAAGTTATTACTTAAAAACATCCACGATGAACAGAGATGATGAACAATGGACACAGATTATGTCATATCTTCACCCCCATTCTACATAGGTAAGAATATCTTTTCAAAGCTCAATTTACATATGTTTTACATTCTTCGTGTTATTCTTTTATCAACCTACGGGAGGCCTGGGACAGACCTTGATGCCTCTTGCCACTGACGTTTGTCCGCCCAAGTATTGACTCCGGGTCGCTGGGATTTATCTGGTTGTGCAAAACATCGGTGCAAAGGTTCTGCACTTTTGTGTGCACGCACGCACACACTCATGCATGCGGGCTCCTTAATCCCCTCAAGGCATGGGTTAGTAATGAATGAGTTTCTGTTTGGGAGGTGTGAGATCGCTTGCACTGGGAGACTTGGTAATGAACTCGGGCGGGTTTTGTCTCGAACCAGGTGAGAGGCCTTTGATAAACAGTATCGGTCGATCAGAAATCCGTAACCTGTGGGTGTTCCGTCAACAGGTCGTTCTTATCCGCGTGGCTGACAGTTGAGAGCAGCACCGACAGCGCTCAAAATGAAAGTGTCTGCCACCTTTTATGTAGGAGGAAAGTCCCGCTGTAACAATGGGATGGCCTTTGAACTGCAGCTTTGTTAAAATAAATTATTCCTTCTGATTGTTGCGATTCAGCACCGTTATGAAAGGAAGCAGTCCTTCGGCAGGGTGTTATTTTTAACGCGTGGGTGTGGACGGATCTGGAGAAATCGGATCTGTCAAGAGGTGCCATATATGTACTGAGCTCGCATTGGCTTCCTTACAAACGGCTTCATGCTTAATCGCTGTACCCTGTCAACACAAGAAGTCCTCCTGATGTCACCATTTGCCGCTTTGATGAAGTTCAATAGAAGCGAGGCTGTAAAGGTGAGGCAGAAAACTATGTTAATACCGCTTGTCCTTTACAATGTGTCATGCTTGCTGTCTCTTTCTTTTGTTACTTTGTTAAAGGTGTTGGTTATCTTTGTAAGCAATCAATTTGTGTCATACTCTGTAAATAACCTGATCACCGTCGTTTGTACCAAACAGAAAGAAATTGTCAGGAAAAGGATATCTCAAGAAGTGAATTGTTGTCACAGATGAGTATCTTACAGTGAAAAGAATTCTCAGGCACTTGTGGTTTTTTTGAACAGTTGGAAATGCCATTGATAGCTTGCCCTCGCAGTTATTTACAAGGAATGGCAACTTGCGTCCCAGCCTGGAGCCAGGTGACAGGTCAACGCAGCGCCAACCCGCCATAAAACAAACAGAAACACGGCGGCAAGCCCTGGATTGCGCTCGCGTTCCCTCCGGCAAAGCGCCTCGCCATCCGTCAGATGGGCACGTCTTACCTGTGAGCCCACGCGCTGACAGTTTCCCCCAGCAACGGAGGTCACGACCCCTTTACGGCTTGTGGCCTAGAGGTTAAACTGCGCCGACGTCGCACTGTACGTTGCATACCCGCAGCGGCGTCGACGGTAGCGGCGACGATGGCGCTTGTTAATATATCATCATCGCTCACACGCCTGGCGCTAGCCCTTGGTAATGTGGCCGAGGCAAAGCAGCGCCTCCTAGCTCTCCACCCAACCAAATCGCCACGGCCGGTGCGTCAACCCCGCCAGCATGCGTTCGTTAAGGAGGAGGGGGGGGGGTCAGCGCCGGTGATTTTAACAATTGCACGGGGTAGTTTTATTCGCACGTAGTAAATTTATAGACACGCGCCGACCTGCCGTTGGGTTTTAATGGCCATCACCTGTGCGCTTGAGTTTGTCCCCCGCAGTGTTTTTATCAGGGGACGTGATCAGATCGGATCCAGTGAGCCCTCAGCTCAGAATAAAGCACGCTAAACGCAAGCCCACCCAGCTGCTATTTTATTGCGGGTTTTTCAGTTGCTATAAACAGATACGTCTTAGTTGCTATAAACAAATGCCTTACGTTTACAGTACAACGATGTTGGCATTCTTTCCTTGCGTTGGTGAATAACGATATCGAAAAAATATAATGAACTCTTAACTGGTAAGTAACTGAACAATGCATCACGATAAATAGGAGGTCCAATTGACAGTGGAGCCTGTTTAAACCAGATCAATTACTTTTATCATCTCTGTTTTTCATAAAGGAATTAGGTAAGCAGTACTAATGCCCGCGCGGCTCCACGTCTGAACGGTAGCCCATCTTCTGAAAGCTGCTTCCTTTCCACGCGCGCACAGAGCCTCTCCGTCTGGCCGATATGACTCGTTTCGCTCCTTACGGTAACATTTCGGGAAGGTGAATTACTTTTAAATGTCCCTCAAAGAGTATCAGATGTATAGACAAGTTGGCCATCGAATTACTGGGGCCCCTTCTTTAATGGTTTGTTGTGCTGGCATTAATGCTTGTTTCCTGTCCAATAACGTGGCTGAGTAATGGCTTCGTTCCCTGTGGCTGTCAGCACTGGAGCCTGCCTTGTCTGGGGACGGAGACAGCACCTCCTCTTTGACGCTGCCCCCCTCCCTCCCCTCTTCTCCCTCGTCCCCCCCACCCGACACGTCCCAGCGATCTCCCCACTGCGCAGCTCCCATCACCCCCCCCCCGCCGCCCCCTCCCTAATCCTGTTCCTCTTTCCCCACCAGAAACCACCCCCACCTCCACCCTCCTCGCCCTCCCCTTTTGCCGTGCACCCTTTTGCGATAATGATAACTTATTGATGAAGTCGGACTGGTTTTGCAGACTTTCACATTGAGGGAACGTGTGGGGGCGCCAGGTGAAGCGGCCGTCACACGCCGAGTGCAACGACAAAAAAAACAGCAGAAGCGAGGAATCCAGCGCGCTGGAATCGGATACATGTTACAGGCGTGTGTGTGTGTGCCGGCGCACCGTGGAATGTGTGAGAAAGACGGCGGCCCTGGCACCCAGCTTGCCTTTTGGGGGGCTGCTTACTGTAAGTGAGGCAAATGAGGCGCGTAATGGTCGGTTTTGTCGGCGTTATTAAGCCGATGAACAGGGGGAGGGCACGGGATTATTGCCACGTCTTCGCGTCTTCGCCACTCCCCACGGCGCGCATTGGCAAATAACGTTGGGCGAGCCTTTGTTGCGGAATTGAAAGTGGTCCGTGCGCTCACGTGAGGCACCGATATTTGCGACTCGATTGTAAAAAAGCAGAATAAAGAAATGTCTTGCCTTCTGCACCATGTTTCCAAACCGCGATATATAATCAAACTTGGAATGAGCCATTTAGTGTTCATGAGCTGCATTATACCTATGTTCTTTAAGGAATATGGAATTTGCAATGAAAAAAAAGGGACTGCTTATCAGAAAAGTCCCTAGGGGGGCAGCACTTTGATGTGATGAGTACCAAGCCACTCCTACGCCACACGTGTTCCAGGGCCTGTCCGTGTATGCCTTGGGCTTCCATCACAGTGTAATGTACCTATACGTGGCTTACAAGTCACAAGAATAATTCGAAAAACTCTCTTTTGGCCCATTTCCCGGGAGAGGAGGGAGGTGGGGGTGGTGTTGGGAGGGGGGTTTTCGTTCTGCTAGAATGAGAAAAGAAATTCACCGCCCAAGATCGTTATCTGCAGCTCCGCCGTCTCTGGATCCGCTGGGGCGGCAGCTGCTGCCAGGTTCGGCGGGCCGATCAAAGTGCCGCGTCCTCAGACCTGGGTGCCTCTGATTAAACCACGGGACAGGTTGCATTTGACCTATCCGTCTCCCCGTACTGTGATGCACGGCAGCGGCGTTTGAGATAGCGAACCATTAGGGCTACCCGGGATTATCAAATATTCGAAGGGGAGGGTGCGAGGAAGAAGCCTTCCTCAACGTCACTGCCAGACAGGCGTAGGGCCGACTTGCCTTGCCATTTTAGAACTGGCGGCAGTTTTTTGTTGTTTTAAGTTGATTTAATTTTTCCCCTGCTTATCCTCTAGAGGGTAAACTATCGCTGAAGGGAGATATGGCGGGATTTTCAGCAGAGGAGTTGTTGCAACAAATCAACGGGTCTTTGTATGCGAGCAGAGCGTGATTTACCTGGTCATGACACCTGGCTTGCGCCTTTGTGCGTCTGCCGCTGCTTGTTTGCCGTCGTTGCGCGAGCTTGTCGGGACCGCCGCCTGACCCGGTTGCGACACCGCAGGTCTGCCCGCGTTTGCGTGACAGAGGCGGTGTCATCTCCCCCCCCCCTTCCCATAGTTGCGGCGACCGCATGCGCCGCTGGGAAGGAATCGGCAAATGAAAAACGCTGGTGCCTTACCACGCAGCCTAATGGAGACGCCAAGAGAGACAGTTTATGAAGTATCGCCGCACTTTGGTTGTAGCGTGCACAAAACGACATGTTAAAATGTACAGCACTATAAAACTAGATCATTATTATTTTAAAGACAAACGTCCCCCGTACAGCCTTATCAGACTGTTGCGACAAGTGCTGTTAGCGAGCACCTTCGATACATGCACACACACACACGGCATATAATTACTTATGACTTATACCAGCTGCAGGCTTGCCTGCCAACCTATAGTGAAGATAAGCGTCAGTGTTTCCAGGGTTCGACTGCTGATAAAATTACTCCCTCCCGTGAACCGTGCAGCGGTTTACAATTAACGTGCAATTGCGCATGTGATGTGTTCTGGCCAAAGAGGTATATTACAGCAGGGAATGGTATTTTGAAAGGTAATGCAAATGATGAAGTCCGCGTGTGTATTACTCTGCACAATCTGTTAGCGGCTTGTGTTCAACACATTTTACCTGCTCTTTGGTATGCGGGCACTTAGGCCACGTGGAGCCTGGGCAAATAATTTTTCTTCAGCATTCACCCCACAAAGAGCGGCAGCACCTAGGGGACAGTGTGAGCGTGAAGAGACAGAGTCGCTGTGAGTGAGGAAAGCCAGAGGTGATACGTACAGCCAGGGTCCCCGCGTGGCGGCGAGCCAGCTAGCAGGAACTTGGGAGAGCAAGGAGGAGGTTTGGAGATGGAGGAAGGGGAGGGGCTGGCAGCAAAAGAGACAGGCCGAGGAGACTCCTCACCCTAAATGTGTCTGACCTTTGATCCCTGGGGCAGTGGCAGCTGGCCTTCGTCAGAGCTCCTTCCTCGTCATCACCGTCACGGGACTGCCACCCCCCCCCCCCTAAGATGAGCGGGAGCCCTCGCAAGCGCCCCCCACCCCAGTTCCCCGGCCATCCACCCCCTCCAAAAGCGCGGTTCCCAGAAAGAGACGGATAGCTGCGTCTTGTTGATGGTAAAGAGGGCGGCCGTGAACCGCTGTGTCGGAATGCTGGAGTTCACTTGCCTGGCGCCACGCTGCCTGCCTCCCAGCAGGCCCGCACCCCGTTTCACCCACACCAGCACCGGCAAGGCTCGCTCGCGCCCCTGCACCGCTAAATTATTTATTTGTTTCTTCCTCTCGTTTGTTTTGTGCGGTTTCTTTACGCTTATTACCGCCGAGTCGGATCGCAGTCCAAACGCGACACCCCCCGTGCACATTGGCCTCGCTGCAGGTTAAACGAGTAATGTAGACACGCAGCGGCAGCGGCATTTGTTTGACGTTACTGATAACCACACTTACAATTTGACCTGGGTCAGTGCTCCGCCGACTGTAGCCGCATCGTTAACGAGCGAAGGGCTGCATTTGTCCCGCTTGTGAGAGAAAAGTTGAGGTTTGTTTCTTATATTGGGAACCACACCCATCTGATTGCATGACAGGTGTCAAGTGAGTTGTCATTGTGGAGCATTTAACATTCCGTTCCCGCACTGCGCACCCCTTGCACATTGTCAACTTGTCGTTGGCAGATTCAGAAAAACATCCTCCCTTGCGAATCTTCAATTCCAGTGGATTTTGTTGCAGGTGGGGGTGTGTGTTATTTCTTACATATTTATCTCATTGTCTGTCCTTATTTAAGGACTGGGTGGCTGTTATGCCACAAGTTGACAAAACGCTCCTTAAGCCTGGCTGATGACTTCTGTCTGGTGCCCATCTGCAAAACTGGTTCTGCCAAGACGGAGAGATTGATCGGGACGAGATGGGGCTCCGCCAACACGTGAATCGCACACCGTGGGGTTTTTTATTTCTCTCTACTTGACAATTTTTGGGGGCTTCGTTGACAGTAGCCACTTCGCCGCCAGTAACTCAGAGGGCGAGTAAAGTTCACGCTCATCAGAGCCCCACCAGGAGCGCGCGTGCACACGTGCGTGCAAGCGGCGCTCATGTCGCCGACTGACGGGATCCATGCGGACGTTGCTCCTCGACACGCAGGTAGAGGAGGGAGAGTTTGAGAGGCGCACTCGGCTGCGTTTGGGGCGGTCGCGCCCTCCACTCTTGTCGGATCACTGCGCTGACTCGACGTGTGCTTTGTTCATTATTCGTATACTTTGCACACGTTTGTTCGGGGAAGGCGCCAGTGTCATTTGTTGCAGTTGCACCACTGTGTCCCTGATTCGGCCACTCGGTAGATCCTCCTCCGCAGACTGATTAGTCCCCCGTGTGTGGGATCTGTTGAGCCACGCTCGTGCCTATCGCACGCATGTGCCTGTCTCTTTATGCTCGTTTTCGTCCTTTGATTCAGTCAGTTTGTGCATGTTGTTTTGTGTTTGGTTTGAGGGCTAAAATAACGAGCGACATTTTCCAAGTGGCACTTTCTTCCACTGAACCTCGTACAAATGTACCCTCAACATATTTTTTTGTTTCATATTTCGCATCTCTTAAACTTTCTTGCTCGTTTTAAGAATGAAAATGTTTGGATGTATCCAGGTGGCCCACTTTAGTCTGTTGTCAGAGCATTTGTTTGGAAGGTGTGGCCTTTTCCACAGGAAAGCTGCGGTAGTGATGCATTAGGGCACCGTGTGCTTATGTATGTTGAACTTCTCTCACACCTTACATAGCCAACCGTGCTAATCGCAGGTGTGAAGGGGAAAGGACAGCAAACTAAACCCAAACAAAAGTTTAGTTTTCAACCTAGATTTAAAAGTGCATAGCTGGAGTGGTTTCCTGGTATCGGAAGGAAGCGTTGTCCAACACCGCCGCAGAAGCGCGGATCTTAAAGCACACGATGCAGTGACCGTATTTGTTCGATGGCTCGCCAAAAGCCGCTGCGAGCATGATCGAAGTTGACTTGTTTGTGAACATGATGTTAAACTGACGTGGACTCAACTGCCGGCTTGCGAATAAGGCGTTTTGGTATTCAATTATTAAGTCGGCTCTTAAATTACAAGTTCCAAAAATCATGTGTATAGTTCAAAATACGGTATATATAAAACAAAGCAAATGACACATTTATTTTTCTGTTTATTTTATTGATAAGTTGCCATGTTAGTAAATGCAATAAGTTTCTTCACACAAAAATAACAGTTTCGGTCATCAGCCCCAGTTTTCATCCGGATGGTTATTTTATATTTTATTGTTGCACGCAGAATTGTCTATACTAATGCATTGCCCACAAATCTCTACTCTGGCACATAATGCATATTTGCAAGTGTCAAATATGTTACTTAACGTGCAAGTTCATATTGAAACTATGTTCAGTCAAACATAAATATACAATATGTTGGGGTATAATGCATGTACGGTAAATATTCTTGATGTTTCCTAAAAGCTGAAACATGAGATGAAAGCTCTCAGTCAGGAAGCAGCAGTGGATTTGTTTAAACGTGTTATGGTCATATATTAAGCATTAATAATGTCATCATTAATACTTGATTATGCTTCAACAGTGCACAAACCGGTTGCTACATGTACATGCGAAATACTTGAAACCACTCGGCAGTATAATTTAACATTTACAATTCATAAACTCTCTCCTTGAACCTGTTTTTAATTGATTGCATTTTTTTTCGCGGGTTTACGAGAATGACCCTTCCGGAGGGCCTTGGTTTTTGAAGCAGAACAATTGTTAACATACGATTGATTTGCTTTGTATCGATTGTCATGTGTGTGTGTATCGATGTGATGAAGTTTCCACGCACTTCTCTCAGTCAGAAGGGTTCTTCGCAAAAGCTCCGCTTGCAGAGGAAGTGCTCATTTGAATGATAGGACCGCGCGTCTGCCTTTTCCACGTCGCAGATGCTCTCCACGGTGCTGAACATCATCATGTTCGAGGACTGCAGGAACCAATGGTCCATGTCCCGCCCGCTACTCGGCCTCATTCTCCTCAACGAGAAGGTAAGCAAGGGGGTGGCAGCGCTGCGGGAGATTTCACCGGACCTTCTTCCGACGCAGCAAATGAGTAATACTGAGAAAATGGCTTTGGTTCGTGCGGCATTTTAAGTTCATGGGAAAATAATTGCATTCCAGAAATTGCAAAACATAAGGAATGGTAGGTTTCTAGATAGATAGATATTTTGACCACGTATAAGGGATTCCTCACCATGGATAACTTCAGAAGTAAGTGATTGCTCACCGTTCATCAGCCCACAGCATGCTTAAAGTATGTTCTTACAGCCCCCTACGATGGACAATGCATCGGGGGCGGTAGGGGGGCTTACTCCAGCAGTGGATTACCATAGGACTCTGTAAAAAAATTAAACCGTAAAAACAAAGTTTTTCACTATAAATCCTTTATATGCGTGGTGGCTAGAGTCCTTTCGTCCTCTGGCTTGAGATGGCTGCCACCTATGGGTCAGATGATTGCCTGCCACCATTAAGCAATTGGTAATTAAATATAAAAAAAAAATCCTAAAAAGTGTAACATTTTGGAAAAAAAAATTCTCGAAAATAAATTGTCACACACAACGAGTCTGTGTGCAAAATGTCAGCTCGATTGGATCACGGGAAGTGGGTTAAAAAACGACCGAAAGATTTGCACGGTCGTAAGCGCAAGCAAGAAAGCAAGCAAGCAAGTGAACTTAATATAAAGGATTTAAAAATAAGGCTGCACTGAGGATTGGAGTTTCGATTTCGAGGGGAGATCTGCAGCAAAACTTAGTACCCCCCCCCTCCCCCCTGGTGCGATGCTGTCTTGGCGTGTGCAGTATTTTACGGAGCTGCGTAACAACATCGTGAGCAGCCAGGCCCCGGAGAAGCAACAGGCCATGCACCTGTGCTTTGAGAACCTCATGGAGGCCATCGAACGAAACCTGCTCACCAAGAACCGTGACAGGTGAGGGCCTCTGACCCAGCACGTTCTCCTCAACACTGGCAATGTTTAGCCCTGGCTGGGAATCGAACTCAGGTGACCCAAGTTCATATATGGCCTGCGTGCGCACGATTACGCAATCGGGTTATGGTTCGTGGACAAATAATATTTTTTTTTTTAATTACCACGTTTAAACATTTCCTTCACTGTGGCGACGCACCTCCGATTGGCACGGTTGGCTACGTACGGTGCGAAAGAAGTTCAACATACATACGTGCGACCGATGGCGTGAACACGGCATCCTGCACGAACGGAGAGCCGTGTGGGTTAGGGCGATAGCGCACACTAGGGGCGTTGTTTTTCATATTCAGATTAATTGGGAAAAATCCAATAGGAAATTTCAGATAATTCGTAAATATAATTGTCTTCGATTGATCTGAAAATTTGCCATCACTGCAAGGTGACTTCGCGTCCGAAAAGTTGCTTTTCGTGCATCGTGTGATTTTACTTTGTTAGCACAACGACGTGTAAAATTATACAAATTTGTTACATATTACAAGTTACATTTTACCATTTGATATGCGTCCCGACCATGCATGTGTCTTTTGACATTAATACAGCACGTTATCCTGCTGAGCCCATGTTTGCGTGGATTATGGTCCCATAATGCACGAGCAAGTCCATATCTCTCCAGTTTCATGGTCTCAGCTCTGACAGTTCATATAAATGTAAAACCCAAGACTTGTCTGTATTTAATTCAGAAGTGCTACAACATTTTAAAGAATATTTGTGCACAAGGAGTCAAACAATGCATTCATTCATCGATTATTAGATACATGCATAAAGTTGTCTCTTTAAGAATCAGATGTTTTTATAATTCTTCCATGTTGTATGTAATGAGTTCACATCATCCTTACCAGCTATTAAGAGGCACACTGCCATGCACAGAAATGTTAAAGATAGAATCAATTTTCGATTCGAATCATGAATCCCAATTGTTAGAATTTATTCAATCGCTGAGGAAGGTGAATTCTTCCACCGAGACATTGTACAGTAGTTGGTAAATGTAACAGTATTCGCCATATTTACATATGTATTGATGTATGTTGAACTTCTTTCACACCATACGTAGCTAACTGTGCTAATCGGAGGTGCCGAGGAAGGACAACAAACTAAACCCAAAAAGCAGTTGTAAAGAAATTAGTTTCCTATCTAAAAGACTTTTCTGATGACTTGCAATCTTATATCCACTCCCAAAACGACTTGATTACCCCTTACTTTACCTGGACACTTGTATGCACACGGAGTTTCGATTTAAAGCTTTCGTGACTGCAGGGATTCATCTTCTTGGTTCTTTCGGTAAAGTCACGTAGAATGGAAATAATAAAATAATAAAATTAAAACATAATAAAATGATTCTCACGACGTTTCAGCCACAACGCAAGCAGCCTTCCTCAGGTGAAGAACAGGTCTGTTGAGAAGACAGAGTCTGAATGTGACGGCTGCTTGCATTGTGGCCGAAACGTCGTGAGAATTATTTTATAATGTTTTATTTTTGTTATTTTATTATTTCCATTCTATGTGACTTTACCGAAAGAACCAAGAAGATGCACACGGAGTGTTTGAAAGATACGGGGTGAAACGAATCTAAAGATAACAGCTGCTGTCCTTGTGTCCCCAGGTTCACGCAGAACCTGGCCATCTTCAGGAGAGATGTCAACGACTCGCTCAAATCTATGTCACCGTTTGCAGCCAACAGTGTGGACATGATGAGCTGAGGTCATCTGCCTACAAGGGTGACTGACTGTCACGGGTTTTGGGTTTGGGGGCAAGGGCGGAAGTGGGAGGGAGGAGGGTGTTAGGGGAATCTTTTTTCAGCCTCTTGGCCTGGTTTGAGCTCAGGGGTCCGCCGTTCAGCGAGCAAGTCAAAGCTTCCAGAGTTCGTCACCTGCCCCCCCCTGACAAACAATACAGAAAGCCTAGTTGTAAAGGACACTAAAAATAAATGATGAAAACAACTTTAAGCGATCCTGGTAATCTCATGAGTTCTAGTGCATCGGTTGCCCCCCCCCCCCACCTTTGCATTGATTGGCAAGCCTTTGATGCTGGACCAAAGTGGAGTGGTTTTTGTTTTTATTTTGTGAGCATCTTGGTCTCGTTCTGAGTGATGACAACGTCAGCGTCTCTTGGCTCAGTTGGTCCTGTCCGATCGTCCAGAGTCTCGGATGTGTAATTTTTACCAAACAGCGTGTGGTGGCTTGTGAAACCCCATTTTGCTGGCCACTCCGTGCACATGTGATGGAATTGAGTCGGGGAAAAACAGGCTCGTGTCAGTCATTTTAAAACTACATTTATTTCAAGGTCTATCAGTGTTTTGTCATAGCTTACATAGTGGACCCATGTGCTCGTGGAGAAGAAATGAGCAACCCACCCGCTTGCCATCCGGGCGAAGTCTGCTTGGCTGAGAAGTTGACTGTTGTTTTTAACGATCTCAGCATGAATTAAAAACTAAAGGAAGGCGACAGTCTAGCAAAAAGCGACAATCGACAATGCGAACATTTTACTGGAGGAAACCATGCCGAACAGATTTGCTATGTCAGTGTTTTCTTTACTCTCTTTGTCTTTTTCACTGCCGCATTATGCACATTGCACGCCCCCTAATAAAGCTCCGCGGTGATACTCGACTTTTTAAAAAAAATCAGACGGTAAATACACTTATCAATTGCTATCAACAGCATTCACGAACAAAACAAAAAAACGCTCAGTTTAGAAGTTGCGGCGACTTGATATATTTTCTTTTGGTACGATTCCGGGTGCCGTGCCTGCCAAACCAGCGGCTCAAGAGATTTGGAAACAAAACGATGCGATATCTCGTGCGCGCCAAGTGTCCCGTCTCCCCCCGTGGACGCGTTCACAGCATGCGCTGTATAGGGGAGAGCCTTGTTTTGGCAAGGCACCCACATGGAGCACACGACGCTGGGTCATTAGGTGCGGACGCACGCAGCCCACTTGTTTTCGCATTCTCCGAATCATTCCCGAAATCTCAGAGAAGTGCAACTTTAGTTTTGCCCATGTGTTCCAAGCGGACAAGTTGGCCTAATTAAGTCAGCGGGCAGCATAATATGTTCACGCGAGCCCCCTCTGAATGAGTTCTCATGTACGCGCTTGAGTGTGTGTGTGTGTGTACCTACTGGGAGAGCGGTAGTGTAGTGGTTAGCGCCGCTATGCTACGAACCTGGCGACCCGAGTTAGATTCCCGCTCACGGCCAACACCAGTGACGATTATCTGAACCGGTCTTGGGCCTCCACTAGGTCGAGTCAGCCTCAAATGAGTACCTGGTGCGGTGTGTAAACATCGACCACTGGGAAGACAAAGACGGTCGGGCGTGGTCCTGGCCATCCACCGTCTCATGGTGCTGTGCCGGCCTTCATAGGTGCTCGCTAACAGCACTTGCCCCTGCAGTCTGTAAGGGCTACACAGGGGATCTTTGTCTTTGTACCCTCTACCTGCCGTGTCGACACCCCCAGTTTAGTGAGTGCAGCCTCTGTTTTATCTTTTGAGAGGTACATTAACAAGTTTATAAAGCACATTTATTTTCAAGATAACCAATGCTGACTTCATTGGAACACCTTACAAGCCATCTGTAATAGTTTTATTGTCACATCTGCACAGTGAACTTAATATTTCACTTTTTATCCTCTTAATCTGCCTACTCTCAACAAAAGGCTGTGTCCTGGGCAATGAGGTTTTGGTGGGTTTATCTAGATTTTCCAGGACATTCCTCATTTGAGAAATACAAGATGCTCCACTCCATGAACACCTGATCTGGAACCACACTTATGCTCGAGAATACATCTATACGAATTAAAATAAGTGGAAAATGTGTGCTCACCAAATGGCTATTGGCTGGCGTAACAGATGAATGGGTGAGTCAATAAGCCTGACAATACAAACACCGACATGGATTTCAGCTGCGAGCAGTCTCTTCCCAAAATTAAACTCAAACTTCGAGGGTTGTTGCTGGCTGATGGAGTGCAACTTTGTCTTACAAACCTTAATCAAGTGGGGAGCACGTCTGCCAAACGAACAGCTTTAACGCACAAACACAAGCCTTCAGCCTCATGGGAAAGGTTCAACGTTAGCTCCATTACCATCGCCCAGCATAATGTGGTTTGTGATGTTTTGAATGGGATAATGTAATTGTAGTTATTTCTTATTCAATCCACTGCCGGATGAAGGCGTCCCCATGCCGCGTCTTTTATGGGCATTGGTTGAGCATATTTCACCGTGCTAAGGATCGGTGCTGATTGGTCAATTGACGGGAGAGGGTCCGGGACCCGTTCCGATGTCCACTGGCCACTCGCGGTTAGCCTGGGGCAGGAGTCAACTCAGGTCGCCAGGTTCCTGGAGCCGTGCCCGAGCTTTTCGCTGCCACCTCTACGCCGTTTTAGTACGACGACGACATGCTAAGGATACAGAACACTTGGCGCTGGGGTTTTGTATTTTTTTTTTAAAAGTGGACAAACTTCTGTGAATGGAATGACGTCTTCAAGTCGCACAGACGCGACGCAGCTTCGGAGGCCGCACGGCTGTCCTGCTGGACAGCGTAGAGCCCCTCGGTGGGCGTTTGATTTCACAGTTTGATGTGTCTTTAACACTGACAGGATTATTAGATAAGCAGTGGGGACCTATCTCCCCCTTTTGTTGTTGGGCCCCATAGAATCAACATCGGATAGGGATCTTACAAAAGCAATTGTCGCAGAGTCTCCATCCGGGTCACATTTGTTTTGGCTGGCCTTTCGCGATAATGTGAGATAGCAACGGCGTTTGTGGGAGATGTGCTGCTGCACATAAACTTTATTTCGCCGACTTACGTTTGGATTTGAAGTGCAGTATGATCTTTTGTGACTATCCAAAACTGATAAACTGAGAATTTTGGCAAAGTAATGTATTATATGAATGAAAAAAAAGTGTTAAACAAATTTAAGATGTATATATCTACACCTTCAAGTAAACTATTCAAATTTTTAATTATAGGTTTCTTAAGAGATCCAGTTGCAGAGGTATGCTCTCTCAGTGGTGCATAACGTACTACCACTCATCGGGTAGCAGTTTACAGTTATAAGATAATTTAGCGCGGACGTTAGGACTCTAAATTTACTTGTTATTGTATTATTATGCAGGCTGTTACACCTCGTTTAAAGATGGTTCGCTTAATCTGGATAATTGTTGCATTCTCAGCGTAAAGAGATTGATCCGTGTACCAATGAGCGCATCATCTGCTCGCTTCACGTTCGGGGCCTTGGCATTTTGGGTGACATCCGTCATTTTGATGTAAACGCTATAAAGCATCGTTGATGCGAAACTCCTCCCGGCTGTAACTGAGTGCGTGTGTGTGGGCGTTCACAATGAGCCGCTACCACCAGTTGAACAAAACGTACGTCGTAAAATTTTACGTGCAAAACAGCAACCGTGCATATCATTCCCGTAGCCCATGTCAGCATTGCATTGTATGGAGTGTGTATGTTGAACTTCTTTTGCACCGTACGTAGCCAACCGTGATCATTGGAGGTTGCAAGGGGAAGGACAACAAACTAAACGCAAACAGCAGTTCTGGAGAAATTAGTTTTTCAATCTAGATGATTTAAAAGTGCGCAGCTCCATAGTGGCTTTCTAATATCCGAAGCAAGAGGCGTTCCAGACGGCCGCAGAAGCGCATCTGAAAACGCGCGAAGCAGTGAGCGCATTGAGTGAGACACGTCGTTCAGTGGGCTCGCTGAGCACCCCACCCGATGGAGTCGCAAACGTCAGGCTAACATTCGAGCTCTTAAAATTATACTTCCCAGAATTCAAATTGTAAAAAAAACAAAAATACTGGCAGACTAAGCCCGCTCGCATAGGTTCGATCAAGTCGCCTGTGCAAACCTCATGTGTTTTTGTCGATATTGCAATTAATTATTAACTCCGTTCATATATCGCGTCGAGTTTAGCGTTTCACACTGTTTGCTGTTATACGCTTGGGGTATGTACATGAGCTGAAACTAGGTGAAGACTTTAAAATGTCCCTCCGACGGTATTTTTATACTTATGCGATTTAGACTCGTTGGAAGTCGACACAGTAACGCTGACTTGGGAGAAATGTAAAAAATGTACATTGATGTAGCCTTTCCAGGTGTATTTGTACAAGATGATAAAAATTTGTACTCATTTCTTTTTTTTCTCGTCGCGTGCCATGTCTGCAGGTATGGGCAAGCGAGTGTGAGTGTGCAAGCGAGTGTGCAAGCGAGTGTGAGAGCGCGGGTTTGAAATGCGCGTGCGTGTGTGCGTGTGTATGTAGGTACGTCGTGTGTTTGCACGTGTGTGTGTGTGAGCATTCTTTCAAGTGTGTGTGTACGTGCGTATTTGTGACTGCAAACATGTGGGGAGCGGTGGCACTGTGGTTAGCGCGTTTCGCTACGAACCCAGCGGGTTCGATTACCCGCTCACGGCCTACACCAGTGACGAATGTATGAACCGGTCCTTGGCCTCCCCTAGGTCGACTCAGCCTCAAATGAGTACCTGGTCCGATGCATAAACATCGCCACTTGGGAGACAAAGGTGGTCGGGCGTGGTGCTGGCCACCCACCCCCTCGTGTGCCGTGCTGGCCTTCATAGGTGCTCGCTAACAGCACTTGCCCCAACAGTCTGTTAAGGCTATACGGGGGATCTTTGTCTTTGTTTGCGACTGCGCGATGAATGAGAGTGGGCATGCTTGCATGCGTACGTGTGGAAGCAGGCGCGTGTGTCCGATCAGTTGTGTGTGCAGCAGACGGCAAACAACCATAGGAAACAGTAACACGGTATAGTTTGGTACAATCCTGCAAGAACCAAATTGCATTTTTTTTTATATTTGTGTTTACAGAATTTGATGTTTTGCTTTAACAATGTATTGTCCCACTGTTGTATTGAGCCACCGACCTGTTAAAGCTAACTTGGAAACCTTGTGTAATTACCATAGAAATTATATTTCTATGAGGCCATATTCCCATTTACCATTTTTTGTTTATTTGGAAACTTGTTACTGGAGTAAACACATTAGATAGAATTTGAGACAAACTGCTTACCAGAATGCTGATCCTTTATTGTTAGCAGTGACATAGTGGAGTGATGTCCTGATTGTGTGTTCAAGAATGAGGCATTTAATAAAGAACTGAAAAAAATAACGTGTCCAGTTGATTTAATCGTGAAGTGAAATCCTTGACTTTCTGCTCATGTTTGTGGCCAGTTTTCGCGAGTCATCCAAGGATGCATCGATTCGCCAATTACTATGCACACAATGTATCGATTGCGTTGTTCGTGTAAGTATCGATTACTGCTCTGACGATCTGTGCGCATGAAATGCTCATGCGGCAACCACAACTATTCAAACAGTGAAATATTCGACAATACATCAAGATGGTAAATACGATACAAAATGAAAAATAATGTCATTTTGTTTTACCGGAAAAGCGTCTCTTGAGTCTGAAGGCTTCGACGCGGATCCAGCATCTGGATTTTTGGACAATTCCTGAAATTGAGTGGCGTCGTTAATCTTCAATGGTTCTTTCGGTAAAGTCACGTAGAAGGAAAATAATACAAATAAAACATAATAAAATAATTCTCACGACGTTTCGGCCACAACGCAAGCAGCCGTCCTCAGGTGAGGACGGCCGAAACGTCGTGAGAATTATTTTATGTTTTATTTATATTATTTTATTATTTTCCTTCTACGTGACGTTACCGAAAGAACCAAGAAGATGAATCCCTGCAGTCACGAAAACTTTAAATCGAAATGGCGTCGTTAAGTCGCCTGCTTGGCCCTGTCCCGTTGGCCTCTCTCCCCCGTCGCACTTCGCTGCCCCAAATGCTCTTTTCCTGCTTGCGTAAGGTTTTCGTATGTACGCTGAAATTCTTTCGCACCGTACATAGTCAACCGTTCTAATCGTAGGTGCCAATAATAATAATCGCCTACATAAGCCGCATGAGACTAATCGGTATTGTTATGTACAAGACAATGTGACCCCGTGGGTCAAAGTTCAACGCTAAATGCTGGCAAAATATTACTCGGGAACGTTTCAGTCTCTTGAACATAACAGGTCCGTCGAGTCGTAATCCACGTGCCCTGTCTAAAATCCCACGATAGGTCAAGTCAAGCATATTGAGTCTCATCAGCTGAACTGGCACGCAAAGTGTGTCTCTTAAGCTGGAGCTCCAGTTTCAAAGATGCCCTTCAAAATGAAAAAACAATTGCTACAATAATATAGAGCACCTGCACAGCGTATATATATAGCGAATGTTTAAATGTCACCATTTAAAAAATCATTCCATGTTTTTTCATGCTTGCATCTGCAGAGTGCATCAGGATACGATACACAGGTCACTCGCTTCTTTAGAAGCTTTTGGAAATGTTCAGCCTAAACAAGATTTTTCTTTTAAACTTATCCGGTAATGTGACGGCGACAGACCTGCACAAGTCCACTTAATCCGTTAAATCGACAGCAAAGGCACTGCAGACTTCTAGAAAATGACAAAAATTCTGCTTAAAAGCCACATCACCTTTGTCTCCCAAAAGTCTAGTTTCTTCAATTGGACCACCTCCGTCCACTCAGCACGATCCTGTAACTGGGTACAACCACAGTCGATGAGCAGGTCGTGTGTGGTGGGATAAAGCGTGAGTACTCTCACCTCTTCCCAGATGTCTCGCCGGCGTGGAAGAGGAGGCCAAATACTCTCTGGAGCGCCTTCCCCGGTGAAAGCCTTTCTGCAAACAGTGTCTGTGAGCGAGCAGTTGCAGGGCTGCACCTCTCTACCCTGTTACTGGGCATCTGTGAAGAAAGAGCTTGAGAGCACATCGGATTCTTCCAGTGTAATACAGATTCTGATTCTGTTCAGCATGCTGCGATTTTTTGCGATTTGAAAAGGCCTGTTACTTATTGTAATTGTTTTATTTTGTATTATTATAACTTTATTTATTTAACTTAATTGTTCCATGTTTGATTGTTCTATTCCAATTAAAATTTTTAATAAATACATGTTGGAGGCAATTAATCTTTTAAGTTCTCATCCTTGCATTAGAATATATAGAGCAGTTCATATGTGGTAATGCTTCATCACATGTTTTAAATCTATTACACCGTGAATATTGAACTGAAGCTTGACTTCAAATTTTTTATCGCAAATAAAATCGCAATATCTGCCAGAAAAATCGCAATTAGATATTTCCCCAAAATAGTTCAGCCCTAAGTGGGGGGGGGAGGGGGGACACGTACCCGGGCCCTGCAGGCAGCCCGCAGACGTCTCCACCCAGCCCGCGTTGGCAACCCCCTGCTGGAGTGAGGGCATCCCCATGCACGCCTGCAGGCCGTACGGGATGTTTGACCGGACATACTTCACCGCGCGAGTCAATGCGGTTTGGTGAAAGTGGTTGTTGGGTGGCGGCGGTGGGGGAGAGGAGGGGGGAGCGCTGTACTGCCCTCAATGCCTGTTACGCCCATCCTTAAGCACTATTATCCAGGCTCAGCGCCTGCTTAGCTTACGAGATCTGACGAGATCGGGCGCATTCCGGCTGATGCAGGACTTCAAAGGCGGGCTGCCGCCGCGGCCGCTGCTGCTGCAGCAGCCAGGTTGAAGGTTCTCCTGTCAAGCGGACTGCAGGTGGAGGTGGCTGGGGGTGTGGAGTGGAGGGGGGGTGACACGGGTGAGATTCTCAGCCGCACGCTGCATCAGCAGCAGCCCCCGCGTGCAAAGGTGCGACGAGAGGTGGGGCCGTGTGATTGCTGTGTTTTGAGTTGTCAACGGGCTCTGCTCCCGACCAGGTATCCCGCGACATCATCAAAACAAACCTTCTAAGAGATACACGCGGGCAGGAAGCTTCTCTCCCGCCTCTGCCCGTCTTGCCTGTGACAGGAAAAACAACAAAAAACCGCGGCTTGTTTTGTAACGATTTAGCTTTCATTAAACAACCGCCCGAAAACGAGCGGGGCTTGATTTGCGGAGTTACGGTAGTCGCTGGATATACGCACAGTTCTGATATAAGCGACGCGTCTTTGCAATGCTATTTGAAGGGCAACCGACTCTTGATCCAAGCGCACGTGGCCTTGCTCCCAAAGGTTGTGCTTATATCCAGCTGCTGTATGGCGATTCATTTTATTAATCATCATCATGACAATCAGCCATCATAAATCAACTGCTGAATGACGACGCCCTGCCCAAAGTTGCCGCCATGCTCCGCAATCCTTCAATGCAAACGATCCATGGGATACAAGTCACATCGGATACAAGTCACATCGGTGAGGCGGTCAGTTTATTTTGGGTAAGGCACAACCAGGGAGGTCGTTTTTTTTTAATGGCGATCCGGCCAACACGGTTCAACGACTCGAGGATGATATCTTGTCGGGTGGAGTCGATGTAAAAAAAAACAGAGCGTTCTGATTGTGTGATCTGTTGGGTGATTGTCCACAGATCTTACCCTCCAAACACGGGTCGTAACAAACAAAAAGCAATTGGCGCCGTGGTGGTCAGATGTTCACTGCCTCGCCCTGGTATGCATGAGGTCGTGGGTTCGATCCCGACCCTGTACGCCTGCTGTATATTTGAAGTTTGCATGCGCTCCACCCGTCAGTCGCGTGGATTTCCCTCCGTATTTGGCTGACAATACATTTTTCACGTGAAGATAAGCCACTTCTTTTTTTCCATTTAAAGCTTTCGTGACTGCAGGGATTCATCTTCTTGCTTCTTTCGGTAGAAGGGAAGTAATAAAATCATAACACACACACAAAAGCAGCTGCTTGCGTTGTGGCCGAAACGTCGTGAGAATTATTTTATTATGTTTTATTTTTATTATTTTATTACTTCCCTTCTACGTGACTTTACCGAAAGAACCAAGAAGATAAGTCACTTCGTAGAGCTATCGTTTGTGGGCCCTAGGTCGCTTCTAGAAAAAGAACTACGTAGCAGCTCTGTGGACCTTACCTGGCGAGAAACATTTGTGTGTTTTTCAATTCACGTGCGCTGTGAACACGCCCACGAGGACAACGTTGGCCGTGAGAGATGGAGGCGATGAGACCCGCTCGCGAGCAGCAGCACGGACGGGTTTGTGTCATCGCAAGATCGCGAGACATGGAGACGGCGTGGGGATGGGAGGCCTTCATCCAGCGGAGGATAAATCGTGGCCGATTGTAATCGCCCATTACAATAATATTATTGCGTTTTTTTTGCCACGTGGGGGTGGTGTGTAGAGAAGATTACGTGTGAGTGTTTTGGTGGCAATGTACGTAATGCCGGGGGGGGGGGGTGGGTGGGGTGTGTTCGCAGGGAAGGTTTTTTTGTTTGTTGACGGGCTACGTGAACATTACTTTGGAGTAAAGGAGGTCACCGTTGGCGTTAAAAGACGAGTGTTTGATGCAGCAGTAATGCACGTGTTACCGTACGGGTCACGGAGTCAGACTTTTAACAGAGCAACTAAAATATATATATAATGTTTTGACCTTTGAAAATATGTGCATGTGGAGGATGCCAGGCATTTCAAGAAAGGATCGGGCAAGCGACTTGCAGAAATAAGGATGTGCATTAGTCAGGCGCTCAAAAGCCGTGGCACCTCATAGATCCTGAATTATATTGTATGTATGTATATTTGAACCTGTTTCGCATCATACGTAGCCAAACCGTGCTAATCATCGGTTATCCATGAGTAGTCGACCGCTGGCTGAAGACATCCCCCCTCCCCAAGTTGTCAACACCTCTCGCGATCCTAAGATGTAATAATCCACCCAGCACTTACACGCGAGCTGGTGTCATCGCTCCATCTCCTCTGTGTACGTCCTCCCAGACGGATTCCATCGGTCGGCTGTCACCCCGTCATTACTCTTGACGACCGGCCATCGTACCTGCTAGTGATGTGCTCCAGCCAAGCCCACTTACGTATCTTAACAGTTTGGATGTTTGTCTTTAATCTGTGTATATTTCTCTAATCCCGTGCTGCTCAACCTTCTTCATGGCACGACAATCACTTTCGTGCTTGCTCCATATTTGCAACACTCATGACGCCCAAAGTGCCTGTCACAAATGAACCACGCTACCTTGCTTATATCGTAGAGGAGCATACATCATCACGCAAACTCCAATCGTCGCCGTAGCGGCCTTTGATTAGCCATCAAACAAAGATGGTCACCGCATCGCGCGCTTTCA